TCCCAGCAGGAAAGAGAACCCAAGGCCTTCTACTTTAGACTTGAGCCAGACGCTGGACCTGGAACCGTGCTTTTCCCTTGGAACAGAGATGCCGAAAGGAGCTCAGTTGGAGGGGGCGCGGAGGAGAGACCAACAGCATTCACTAAATCTGGAATCTAATCTTTTCACTGTTGTTTTCCAGTGGTGTGACAGTGCCCAAGGCACCCGGCCTCTGAGTCTGGGGCCCTGTCTGTAAGACCAAGATTCTAGGAGGCCCTAAGAGCTCAGGGGTTGCAGGTAGAACGGGATTGTATTGCCTGAGCCCAGCCATGTGCCCAGCCCTTCCCAGGTGATGCCCCTCAGAGAAGGGGCACTTGAGGTTCTAGGAGGAGGTCTGGCCTTCCCTTTCTCCTGTCACCCGAGGCTTCTCTCAGTCTTCAGCTGTGGCTCCCTTGAGTTTTCTGGGCCAGGAAAGAAAATTAGGATTTAGCGACCCCTCTTGGCAAATCCATGTGACAGCGGCTGTGCTGGAAGGGGTACCCACGGTTAGCAGAGGGCATCCAGCTGAGGTAGGTTGTGAGAAAGGCAGGAGGTTGAGAAAAACGAGGGTTTTCCTCTGGGCAAATCTTCATTCCACGGTCAACATTCACTTGGGGCCTACAATTGATTGATTCCTTCATTCCCTCCTTCAGTTGCTTGTTGGTTAGTTATCAATAACAATCAACAAATGCTATCCGAGAATCCAATCTGTGCCTTGGAACTATGGCAGAACCCGAGAAGTCTATGGTCCAGAGGGGAACCCAGACCCAGGCATCATTCATTCATTCATTCATCCATCTATTCACTCGTTCATTCACAAATGTTATTGCACTAAGCATGGTTCTTTGCATCTAAGAAACATCAGTAAACAAAACAATCAAAGACCCTTGCTCTCATGGAGTTTAGAGGAGGGGACTAAAAATAAACAATGCACATAATAAATAAGTAAAGTCACAGTACATTTGAAGGGGAAACGTCCTATATAAAAATGGAAGGTAGAATGGGGGAGGGTGAACCACAGTGCGGGAAGGTGGAGCAGCCTATAGAATTGAGTGAGTGGTCATAGTAGGTCTACTGGAGAAGTTGATTTGAGCAAAGACTTGAAGCAGGTGAGGCAGGCAGGTCCTGGGGGCAGAGCAGTGCAGGTGCTGAAGCCCAGGTAGAGCGAAGGCCCAGGGAACTGCCCGCCCAGTGGGCTCTATACTGCAGTGCAGACTCCTGGGCCCAATTACAGACCCAATTACAGAATCAGAACCCCTTAGTGGGGCCCAGGCATCTGCACTTTGAACGAACACCCACTAAAGTTGGAGAAGAATCACAAGACAGGGTGTTCTCAGACCACAGGCCTTGCTTCTGTTTGTCCCCCCAGGGAAGGCAGGACAGGAGCTGCCCAGGGGAAAACACACATGGTTATGGGCCAGTTCTACCTGCCCTATCATTTTGATAGGTCCTCCTGTTTAGCCTTCACATCACCCTCTGTGAGGTAGGCTTCATGGCCTCCATCACTTTAACACAAGAAACTGAGGACCAGAAAGCCTGGGTGGCTCAGCTGAGGACCACGGTCAGGTGGGTGTGGGGGATTGGAACCAACCCTCCTGGTGGTCATTCCAGCGCTTCCTTGTCAACTTGCCCCTCTGCCCTAGACTAACCCATTTCAACCTGTCCTCAATCAGGGCCTCCCTTGAAATGGGGAAAGTTAGTAGCTCATTTGTGATTTATTGAGATTCACTTGTTCCAGTGGTTCTCAAACATTGGTAAGTATTCAAATCACCTAGCCCAGGCCCTAGCCTACTTCCAAGAGCCTTCTTGCACTTTCTTAGCTCTCCCGGTGATGCCAATGCCACCAACGTTTGCGAGCCCATGGCTCCAGAGCAGGGTGCTCTCAAGTGTGGGCGTTGCTGACCCTTCCTCTGTAATGGTGCCAAGAAAGGCCATTTTAGGTAATAGCGAGCTCCTGGGGAGACCCCCTTGGGAGGGAAAAGGTGTAGCTCATTGTTGCCCTTGAAAGCACTTTGTGCTTAAAAGCAGGGCTGCAGGCCCACAGAGGTAAGCAAGCGTAATGAGAGGAGGACAGCCGTGGAAAGGTCCCTGAGCCCAGCTGGTCAAGGACGGTTTCATGGGGCACAGCACTTTAGATCAAAGAAGAAATGAGGGGAGCCAGAGCCCAAGGTAAGTGCTGGTGGCAGGGTGGGGCGAGCCGCGGGATGTGGAGTGAGAGAGAGGCTTTTCAGGTGGGTTCCTGGACCCCCAGTGGGGTTGGGCCACCAATGGACTTACGGGGCATATGGAACCCCAAAAGTGAATGCCAAGCCTTGAATTTACGTGCACCCTCCCAGAAAGTTAGGAGGCACTGGGGTGGGAGGGATACCTGAGTGTGGCTTGAGGGGTATGTGCTTGGAGGCTGAGGAATATTGAAACCAAGAGTACAGGTAAGGAAACTTGAGGAGAGGGTTGGCATACTCCGATACCAGGCAATTTGGGGACGTTATTGCCTTTTTGGAACAGCATCATCCCCAATAGACTTTTCCCATGGAAAAGATAGGTCTTGGCAGAGGTCCAACTGCCAGGTTTCCTCCTGGCCTTGCCGCATACGCCATTTCCTTGTATCAGAAAACATTTTATCAGAAAAACACACCTCTTTTAGTTGGCCTCCATTTGCTGCACCATAAACCTACCTGAAGAGGTTCTCATTCTGACTGCTGGAAACAGCCTCCCTCCCTCCTCCAATGGCCTCTAGCGCCTCCAGCGGAATTCCCTGCTCCAGCTTGACCCCTGCTAGCTGTGCACCTGGAGCCCCAGGCGGAGGGTTGGGTGGGTGGGACGGAGTAGTGGAACCTTGGTAACAGCAAGGATTTCCAGGTCAAGAAGTCCAAGGGAGTCTCTAAACCAGCCTGAACTGGAATACCTTTAAGTTCTAGGACCTTGTGCTAGTCTATCTGATACTACAGAGCTGCCACAACTTTGATTTTGTTATTAAGGTGACATGAGACAAAGATACTCGTTATGTGAGATCCCAGCCTTGGGAAAGGGCGGAGCCCCGGGCAGAGCTTCTTGCCTGTTGAAGGGCGTTCCTCTCCGCCATCTTGGCCCTGCTCACCAGACTCCTCAGGACCAACATGGATGATGGGCACCACTTTTTGGAAGGCAAAACCAAAGGAACCCCACTTGATCCTGGAACTATCCCTTTCTGCCATCCAAATATGTGAAAGGACAGTGTGACCTACATACCCCCAGGGCTGACAGCTCCATTGAAATGACCCTCTTACATCTAGGGAAGGGAGGGTGGGCAAGAACGAAGCTTTTGCTTATGCTACAAAAGGTTAGTCCAGGCATAAGAGCTCACATTTGTTCAATTTCTTTCTAAGTGGTAAGCTCCCAACACGGATGAGTGAAGTTCTTTATATCACTGTTGACGAAACGTAGGCATCCTGAGTCAAGACTCGGTGCATCTTTGTCCTGTAGTCTCATCTGGCCATAGCTCCCTCTTCCATGGCCAAAGTCCTGGTTCATGGCTCATGTGTTCACTGACTCGGCAACATTCTCGTGGTTGTGCCTCTCCTCCCGGTTACCTATGTGGCAGGCACAGTGCTAAGGATATAATGATGAAGGCTGACCTAGGCAGATACTAAACAAGCAGCAGTACTGTCATATAGAAGTATAGGTTGCTATGGGAACATCACAAGCAGACCGAACATAGTTTGGAGAAGTTGGGCAGAGTGTTGGGTACTTTGAAGTGCTGGCGCCACACTTGTAAAAGAAGTAACAAGGTTTTACATATGTCAGGGGATGTGACTTCGAAGAAGAATATGGAATTTGGTGGAAGGGGCATAAATCTCTATTCTTAGAAAAAGAAGTCTCGGTGTCTGGGGATATGAGGAATTATATTGTAAAGACGAGAGGCCGCTGTTGGCCCGAGATTTTCTTACCTTGTGGCTTCTGCTATCTGATTGTTGTTTGGTTGATTCTTTAAGACTTTAAAATGGTGTTCCTTAGGTCTTATGCAGCATTTTGACTTCTTTTCAGACAGAGGACCGCCTGCATAATCAGAGGTTCTCAAAGTATGTATAGTCCCAGGAACATGTTAGAATTGAAAATTCTCAGGTCCCACTACTGAATCGAAGTCTGGCAATGAGGCCTACTCATCTCTGCCCTAACAAGGCCTCTGAGGGATTCTGGTGGACTTTGAACTTTGAGAACCATGTATCTAGCCCACAGTTACTAGTGATGGAAGTCTAAGGCAGCTGTCACAGTGAGCCTGTTCAAGGTGTTTACAGGAAGTGAGAAGGAAGGAGGATGGAAAGAATGAGTGTTGAATATCTGGTATAGCTAACTTGGATAAAATAGGCAAAAAGAATACGGGGGTGGTGAACTTTGTCTATGAAAGGCCAGATAGTAAATATTTTAGGCCTTGTCGATTGTATGGTCTGTGCCACAACTATTCAACTCTGCCATTGTAGTTAGTATAAAAGCTGCCATAGATAATACCTATGCAACCAAACAACTGTGACTGTTCCAGTAAAACTAACTTTACAAAACGAGGTGGCAGGCTGGATTGGGCCCTTGGGCAGCAGTTTACTCCATGCTATTCTAGCAGAATGATTTACTCAGCTTCTCTTCCTGTCCTGTCCCAGCAGCAAAATCCTTTTCTTCCTTAAAACCCTATAAAGTAGGAATTACTCTGGTTGAAGCTCAGGGTGGAGAACTCAGAGCCTGTTCAGTGTCCCCTTTTCCTCAAAGTGATCCCCAAGGCTCTTCCTCAGAACACATTTCAATACCAAAAAGTACAGAGCTCCACTGTCTGGGCTTGGGGGCCACGTAGGCATTGCCCTTGAATGAGAGGTTAACTCCTCCTGAACCGATTGGGGCCTATAACCATGGCATGGGAGTGGGAGGAACCAGAGGCCAGTACGAGATCAAATCTGGACCTGAGGGTTAGGGAGAGTCCCCTTTGCTGCCCTCATGGTCTCTCTCTTTCTCTGCAGGTTCGGGCCAGCCTGCTGAGGCCAAAACAAAGACGCAGACTATGAGTCACCAATCAGTAACCCTGCACAAGCCCCGTGGCCAGATGAGGAGCCAGGGTCTCAGAAACCAGAGCATGCAGCTGAAGGAGATGCTGCTGCGCTTGCAGCACACCATAGAGGACTACATCATGCAGCTGAAGACCCGGCACCTGCAGCAGGACCCGGGGCCGGAGGAGCAAAGGCACAGGCAGGCCGCCAGGGAGCAGGAAGCCACCCTGGTCCACTTAATGTGCCAGGTGGTCAACCTCTTACAGCCTTGCCCACCCCTGGACTCGAGTGGCCATGTTGGAGCTGGGCAGCAGGCCCAGTCATCCAGGCAGCCTGACCAGCAAGGTCGCCCACTGAGTGATTTGCAAGCTGCAGTCATCAGCTATGACCTGTCCAACCGAGGGATCGACATCTCTACTGTATACCAGTCCAGCTTCCAGGACTACAAAGCCTACCTAGGAGACAAATACCATGAGGACAAGAACCCCTTGGTGAGAACAGAAGGGTTACACTCGAGAGCCCCAATTACTGGGATTTACTGAGTCCTGTGCCAAGTCCTGTGCTCTCTTGTTTACTCTTCCCAGTCCCATGAAGTAGGTGCTATTGTCACCTTATAGATTAAGGAATGGGCAAGTTCAATTAAGAAATTAAGTGACACACCCAAGAAAGGTAAGAGCTGGGCTCCAGTCCTCCGCTCTGCGTGCTTTCCCTAAATACTTGCTCTTACCCCCCGGGAGTCGCTGCCTCCATGGAACTCGGTCTGGTGAGGAATGTAGTCAGCCATCGGGAAATGACATTGTTTCTGAGAACACTAAGAGGATGCCTGCTTTGAGTGGTCTGTGTGTGAAGATATTTTAAAGGCTATCAGCCAGCCTATGGTGGTGATGGGAGGGCGGGTCCTCCAGGAGGGCGAACAGAATTATGAAATTTTTAAGGTGGGAAAGGCTTGGAGTGATTGGAAAAAGAGGCTCATGTGGCTAGAGTAGGGACAATGAGCACTGTGACAAGAGGTATGGACGAGGTAGGCAGTTGGGAGGGGTTTGGATGTTCTCCTAAGGGTGATAGGGAACCGATGAAAGGATTCCATCAATGGAGGCTCACAACAGGTCCCCAGCCAGAGGGTGGAAGACAGCACAAGTCATAACCTTCCCTTCTGTTCAAGCTAAGTGACATGTGGTCAGTGGCCATGTGCTTTTCTGGGGACCAAGTGAGTGAGGTATCTCTTGGGACTCTGAGGGACCGTTCTTCCTCCAATAACTTGAAGAGCTCTTACACAAAGGTGGAAATAGCAGGGATGGGTATGAGGCAGGGTCTGTGGTCCTTAAGGATCGAGGCTCTCAGGCCCATCACCAAGGTCACACGGCTAGTAGATGACTCCACCTTTCTGAGCTTCACTCCCTGTAAAGCTGGGATTGTAATGAACTCTTTTCTCAGGAGTGGAGAGAATAGAAGAAACTCACATGAAGCACTTAGTGTAGCATCTGGTACATAATAACTCAATGATGGGTAGCTGTTACATAATCTAACTATTATTTATCTGTATGGCTTTAAAGGAGAAAATGACACGCTGTAAGATTTTGGGTTTGTAGAAAGTTGTCTAATACTTTAAAATTCTCAAACATGGATTGAATTGCCTCATGGGCAGTCTGAAATCTCCATTTGAAATCATCTGGGACATGTTTAAAGGGGTCCATCTGGGCCTGGGCAAGAGGACTGATGTCAGATTCCTTCCATCTCCAGGGCTTCATTAACCTTGGTGTCAGCGAGAACAAGCTCTGCATGGACCTGATGACTGAAAGGGTAAGCCAGGTTCAGGCTCAGTCCCCCTTGAATGTTCCTCAGCATGTGATAGATACAGGAGTGGGACTTAGGAGAGTGGGGAAGGGAGTGGGGGAAATATTGGGTCGTTGGGAAAGTCGTGATGCATTTTTGCATTGAAAAACATAGAAAAATATGTCATGACTTTCCCAATGACCCAATAGCTTCTAGAATAACACATCTAACCTTCGGGATTTGCTCTGTTCAGAGGTGTTCTCTGGGTGGAATGTGGTGGGTAGGCAGCCAAGGGAGCCTCTGGTCCATGTGTAGGGTTGAGGATGTCTTAAACACTTCCCAGTGAGTTATCTATTTGTGTACTCTGATAAGATTGAGGCCTCCATTCATTCAGGAGCACATGGCACCTATCACCATTGCCCTTCTGTGAGGCCCTGTGTTATAGGGCAAACACCCACATGCATCCTGGGAGCAGGATGAAGACTGTTGGGCTACCCGGTCTGGCTGACCTCACATTCTATTTGTCAACAGTTGAGTCGGAGTGACATGAACTACATTGAGGATGCCCTGTTGCAATATACTGACTGGAGAGGACAACCATTGTAAGTGAGCTCCAGATCTGTGGCCTTCGGGTCTACAGGAAACTGAACTCATGCAGGGAAGGACTCAAGATGCCAGATTCTTGGTTGGCTACCTCCATGTTTCTTTGGGAAACAATTCTAGGAAATGCCTAGGGCAAAACCTCGTCCAGAGGCAGCCAGGTATACTCGAAATAACACTGCCCTATAATTTAAAAGGCCTGCGTTCTTGTCCAAATTTATGATCTGTCACCTGGAGAGTCAATAGCCTCTTGTCAGTAGCCCTGTAACATGAGGTTGGATGCCTTCTTCTTTGGAAAAAACTGAAGTCTAGACCCTGAAAGGAGGAATGGGCTTGGGAACCACAAGTCTCTCTGGGTCTGCCCACAGCCTGCGTGAAGAAGTGGCCCGGTTCCTGACCTACTACTGCAAGGCCCCTGCCCAGCTGGATCCAGAAAACGTGAGTCTGTATCCCAGTCTCACTGCCATGCTAGAGGAGGGCTGTATTCTTGCGGGACTCTCTGTGTTTTCTAGAAGGTACAGGGAGAACCAGCAGAGACCCTCATGGCCAGGACAGGGAAGTCCAATGGGTCCCCACGGAGGAGGCTCCTGGTACCTGTCCCTACCCAGGAGTAGGAAGACGGGGACTAGCCCTTCATACCTGGGGACTGGATTTTGACTTCTGCTGTCTGTGCATGTTTTTCAGGTGGTTGTTCTAAATGGCTGCTGCTCTGTCTTCTTGGCACTGGCCATGGTTCTGTGTGACCCAGGTGGTGAGTCAGTGGGCTCTGCCCTCCCTCAGGGAAACAGCAGCACATGGGCATTGGGCCTTAGGGATGAACAGCATCTTGACTCAAGGCCTTTCCTCAAAAATGCTGGGAATCCCCTACACTAATCAGAACATCTCCCTACTATTTCTGTAGGAGCGAGGGATTTGGGTTTCCATTTGATAAGGAAGAAAATCATGTGACAGTTCTCAGGAATGGTGACATTAGGAGCCTACTCATTTTAGTATTATCTGGGTTTGGGGGCTCAACTCCAGTGCAGAGAGCATTGGTAAACTGGCTTACACTATAGAATTTCAATCACCTCAAAAATAAAAATAGTCTAATTAGTTCTAGACCAAATGAGGCTGAGAGATCTGTTCTCAATGTCCCTCTGAACAATGCCCAAACAAGAGTCTCGGATCTTACTGAGCTCTGGCTGCATGGAGGGAAGTCACCAAGATGGTCAGTTTCATTCAGACGAGTGGATCCTTGGTTAGCTCATCAATGAGGCCAAATGGATGGGAAGAAAAGAACACAGGAGATCACCAGGTACAGATAACCTGAGTCATGTGGAGAGGTGAGAGCCCTCCCTGTGCAGGGAACACAGCCTCCAGTATTTGGCCTGGACCTGACCAGACCTTATCAATGACCGGTGCTCCTCTTGCGAGTAAGGCTGGCTTGATCCGTGCCCTGATTTCTGAGCCATTCCTAGCAATATTCTTCCCTGTCTCCTTCTCTAGTATACCCCCAAAGAAGAAATTTGAGTTGTGTTCCCCAAATACTGTTTATAAGAATGGATAACTTTTATAGAGCCTGAGCACAAAAGCATTAATCCCAAGTAGGAGGGATTGCCAGAGTAACATGCTCTGTAGGTAGGGGTTCTGGCAGGTTCTGACTGAGAGACCCAGGACTGACAGCTTTGTCTCCGTGTACTTCCAGAGGCCTTTCTGACCCCCACCCCCTTCTATGGTGGCTTCGCCTTTACTTCCCACCTGTACACGAAAGTTGAGCTGATTCATGTGCACCTGGACAGCGAGGTCAGAATGGGGCCCCTTCCCCTGCTCAGCTCACCAAGGCAGTGGGATGTTCTGGGGCATTGGGAAGGTGTAGGGGGCGTTGCATTCCTCCCGTGTAAGTGATGGTGGCGGGGAGGATGGAGAAATCAGGGCTAAGGGGGCATGTGGGACTGGCGCCCTGGGTGTGAAGGCGAAGGATTGTTCAGGGCTTCTAGGAATGAGGGATGAAAGCGTTCAGACAGGCAGTCCTCAGGCAGTGTTTGTCTTCCAGGTCACTGGTGCAAACGCCTGTCCGTTCCAGCTCACTGTGGGCAAGTTGGAGAAAGCCATGCTTGAGGCTAGGCTTAAGGTAAGGAGGTCTCCATGTGTTCAGGGTGGGCCCTGCTGCCTCTGAAAGGGCTTCAGCCCTAAAACTGCTACAACTTGCTCACCAAGTCAGTGTGGGCTCCTTCAGAAGAGGCAGTGTCCCAGGGGCATGTCCCCTCGGAACTCTGAGCCCTGCCTGGGGCCTCCCCCAGAGCGCCTTCCTGCTCCTCCTCTGGGGGCAGTATGGTAGTTGTTTCGAGATCCTGCCTAGGCCTTCGTGAGGTGTCCTGTGTTGGGTGTCCTGACTGACCTTGGCTGAACTTGAAGATGTAAAGGATTTGTGTTCACTGGGTTGCTGGGTTCTTTTTAGGGGAAGCACGTCAAAGGCCTTCTGCTCATCAGCCCCCAGAATCCTCTGGGAGACGTCTACTCCCGGGACGCACTGAAGGAATACCTGGAGTTTGCCAAGAGGTAGGGGTTCGGCCCTTGAGACTAGACGGAGACCCTAAACAGGGTTCCGTTCTTGCTGGTCGTCAAGAAGTCAGAACCAGGAATAATTTACCCTAAATATTCTTGCTGCTTACTGTGTTCTGCAAAGCAGTGTATAACTAAGTGAAATTCAGATGAAGGAATACGCACTCATCTGCCTATCGCATTGACCAAGCTTTTTTTGCCATTTCCTTTCTAGTCTTGTCCATGTACAGACACCTACACAACAATGTTACTACAGTCTTGTTGCTTTTCCACCTGTTCGTGGAAGCACTTTCTCCCAGCATCCATTTCTCAAACCACTTGGCCTGAGGTGCCAAGGAAGACAGACTCTCGAATCTGGGAGGTGAAGATGAAGACGTGTCTCTAAAGAACTTTCATGTCCCATTCCTAAGATCATGTTCACATCACATATCTCAGGAGTCTTGAAACAGCCCTATTAGTTGGGGTAGAAAACCTTCTATTTTCTAGAAATGCACTAATTCAAGCCACATAAACTAACCCACACCAATGAATGGCATAGCATAGGGACCAGAGGAAGAACGCTGGAAGTTGTGGGCTGGAATTGGACAGAACTGGGTTCATACACAGCTCCAAAACCTAAGGGAGGGAATTAACTTTATAGAAACTGAGTTTCTGCATCTGTGAGATGGAGATAACAGCTTCAGAGGGCTGTTGGGAGAATAAACATGATATGCACAAGCTCTTAGCCCACTTACCACCATTGTTTCAGGCTCGGGGTGGGAGTTCCTGACTGTACAAGATGAAAATTGGCTGAGATACCCATCTACTGCCCATTGGTCTCTGCTTGATGAGTGAAGGGTTAGGTAACATGTTCTCATGCGTGTCTTTTGGGTTCTATTCCTACCTAGTACTCCCAAGCCAGATCTAGGGTAGAGTGTACCAGCCTCTCTACCTTACCATGACCCTGGGAAGGGTTCAATGGGCTGCTGGGGCCGTAGGAGTATCTGATCTGTATCCAGAGCTGACCACGAAGAATGTGAGTTCAGATTACAGAGAGAGCCTTGATATTCTCCTGGTTTGCAGGTATAACCTACATGTGATTATAGATGAGATTTACATGCTGTCTGTGTTTGATGAATCCATCACATTCCACAGTGTTCTGAGCATGGAAAGGTGAGTTGGTCTCAGCCAGAGTTGGAATGAGAACCATGAAGTTCCTGCTTTTGTGCGGTGAGTTCATGTGCCATAAATTTAACTGGCTAAGTGCTCGGAACTGAGTTAAATGTGAAAACGAGCAAAGTGTGATCCTTCCTCCCAAGTACTTTTTCATCTAAATGCCATTTTGTACACAAGGTAACTTGAGGGCAACGTAGAAAGTGCACTGGAGGGCAAGGTAGGAAGTGCACTATCAAAGGTCAAGATAAACCCCTACGAAAGGTCAGGGTGGGACCCTCTTGGTTAGTAGAACACACGAGGAGAATAAAAACAGGACTGAAAATTTTTAAGGGTAGTATTTGACCTTAAGATAGGATTCCAGCAGCCAAAGTAAGGGACGGACATGCCTGGCAGAAGAGACAGCTTTACCAAAGGTGGGACATAAGAAATAGGTGAGCACATTTTAGACACAGTGGGTAGCCCATGTTGTATAGAGCCAACTGCCAAGGAGGTGGCTTTGGACCAGCTGGAGGAAGGCCACCAGCCGGGCTGAGGGTCCCGGATTTCACTCAGTAGAGCAGTCCTATCTTGTTCCCCCCAAATACCTTGTGTTTATTCCTGGATTAACTGGGGCATCTGTTTCTTGAACTTTGGGCCTAGTTCAAGTTCTATGTCAAGATTCTGCTGTCTTAGGAAGGACCTCAAGTCCACTTTCCTTTGCATAGAACCCAAGTCTTCATTTTTCAAATATTTCTCCATAATCTTGATTATATTGTTTCTTCAGTTTGCCTGACCCCAAGAGGACTCATGTGATCTGGGGCACCAGTAAGGTTAGTCCCAGCTGCCTGGCCGTGGGTAAGAAAGGAAGGGGAGCCAGGATCAGAAGGCAGACAAACCAGGTATTCCCTCCCCTACCTCTCTTCCTCTAGGATTTCGGGATCTCTGGCTTCCGTTTTGGTGCTCTGTACACCCAAAACAAGGAGGTGGCCTCTGCCGTGAGCTCTTTTGGCTACGTCCACGGCATCTCTGGCATTGCCCAGCACAAGCTGTGTCGGCTGCTCCAGGACAAAGGTACTGAGCTCCATCCAGGCATCATGGCAGACTGATGGCCATGGGGAATTCCTGGGTCTGCTTGGGCCTCTGACACTGACATCCCGTTCACTGTGTCAAGTGTAACAGTGGAGGACGGGAAGTTTGAAGGAAGGCAGGATGAAGCTCGGTGGTACAGGAGGGTGTAGACAGAAGAGGGACGTGCTCATCTGAAACACAGGATGGGCTTTAATTTCTGGCTGTCTGGTAGCTGATGCTCTGCCTGAAAAGGGGATGGTCAGTTGTCATCTGAGCTTTCAGGTAGGAACTTCAGAAATCAGTCTTCCTTTGAAGGTCTATTTTTCCTCCCTAATGCCCTGCTTGCTTACAGAAAGATTACAAAGAAATGCCCTGATGCCTCAACTGTGACTTAACTTCATCTTCCAAGGTGGCCAAAGGAGAAATGCCATTGGGCATGTTAGCGTGGCTCTATCTATGGCATCTCGATTCATCTGCTCGCTTGGATCGCACATGAACGCTGGCTTCAGAGAGCCCTTCCCCCTTTAATGTCAAACTTAGATAAGGCCCCCTTTATTTAATTCCTAGTAGTACAGCAGATGCCAGGCTGGATGATTTAAATTAAAAGCTGCTCTATAGTCGATAAACTAACATAACCAGATAATCGGGTTTAAAAAAAAAAGTATTTTCAGCTTAAGTAGAGTAAAAGGGTAGATAGGAGAAATCCAACTCGATGTTTTCCTGCATGGGGCCAGGCCCTTTGATATTTGACAGAAGCTAGGTTCCCAGGCCCTTGAACACTGGTTCTCAACCTTGAATGCATATGGGAATCACATGAGGAGCTTAAATACTGATGTGTGGGCTCCACCCAAAGATAACGATTCAGACCAGGGGTTGGCAAACTGCGGCTCACGAGCCACATGAGGCTCTTTGGATACGTTCCATCTCAAAAGTTTGCCGACCTCTGCAAGAGCCAATCCTGTCCCTTACAACAATTTAAACATTATTCGAGAACCATAAATATATTTTTACAAATAAGGAAAATTTAAAGTAATATTATAAATGAAACTATGATAGTTTTACTTTCATTTTCAATTTTACTTCAGAGCCACATGTATGTACCCAAAGAGCCGCGTGTGGCTCGCGAGCCCCAGTTTGCCGACCCCTGGCAGCTCTTCCATCTCAAAAGTTTGCCAACTCCTGATTTAGACGATCTGGGAATCTAATCTGGGAATTAGGACTTCGAAAAGCTCCCCAGGTCACCTTTGTGAGGCCAATGCTGAGAACAACTAAGCTAAGATCACCCCCAAGCAGACCTGGGCTCCTCCAAGTCCACTATGGGAGGCTGTAAGGCTGGAGGTAAGGGGAGCTGTGAGTACCTGCCACTTGCTCAGCCGACAACAGCAGCATCACCTGATATAGGTGATAATCTGACTTCCAGTGTCAAGAGTGTGACATCAAACAGAACACTCCTGCTGGCTCATTGAGAAGCCCAATGTGTCCACCAGAGCCATCGGTAGGAGTGTTGGGTATGGATGCCATCAGCTCAAATCTAACAGTCAGTCTTGGATACAATAGCTGCCAGGAAGCCCAGGTCGGTAAGGAATGCTGGGCAGATCTCTGCCCACGACAAGACCTGTGACAGCATTCTACCTCCGCCCATCCAGAATGGATCGACAAGGTGTACCTGCCCACTAATCGCTCCCGGCTACAGGCCGTTCACAGATATGTCACCAGCAATTTGAAGGCACTGAAGATCCCTTTTCTTAATCGTGGCTCTGGCCTCTATATCTGGATCAATTTGAAAAAGGTGAGCTCCGGGAGTGAGGACCAGTGTTCTTTGGCAGACTTGGCTGATGGGTCTTGGACTCAGCTCTGTCCCTCTGCCTTCCCTAGTACCTGGACCCGTGCACATTTGAGCAAGAGCTGCTCCTCCATCGCCGATTCCTGGAAAACAAGCTGATTTTGTCCCGTGGCAAGTCCTACATGTGTACGGAGCCTGGCTGGTTTCGCCTCAACTTTTCGGATAAGCTCCTCTGCCTAAAACTTGGTGAGTGATGCTGACCTCCTAATCATGGCATCTCTCAAAGGTGCCCCATCCACTCCTGTAACCCAATGACTAAGTCTTGTCTTATTGGCCTTTAGCAACCTGTAGCTACAGCCCGTTTATACCACAGAAGGTTTACACTTTCACGTTTTGATTACATTCCTTTGCAAACAGGGAGTATAGGCACCTGCCATTGAGCATGGCATTGGGACTATACGCTAATTGGACGTGGTACTCTGCCCTGTAGGGCTTGCAGTCCAGTAGGTGAGATAGACAGGTAGATGATCAAAGAAGTTCAGGTTCTCCTCTGAAGGTTATGGAGAACATGACATTCATTTAAACAATGATCTCTTGCATCACACCACCTGTTGGGCACTGTTCTAACTGCTGGGAATAGAGCAGTGATGAGAGGACATTTATACCACAGAAAGATTCTGAGCTAATGTTGAGAATAGACTGAGTGAATAAACACTAGAGGCAATAGAAAATTGTGATGAGGCCAAATCCACAACCACGTTACAGGATTTGATATGAAACATGAAGGTGTCTGGCAGGCAGATAATGTGACAATGAACCTGAAAAAGAGCCACTGGGGATGCGGTAGGGAGACTTGGAAGTCCACCCCAAAGAAGGGTGGGATGAAGTTCAGCATCCCTCAACGAGAGGCTTCATGATGGTCTACCATGACCTGGGGATGCTTGGAGCCTACATGCAAACCTACTAAGTCTCTCTCTCTCTCTCTCTCTCTCTCTCTCTCTCTCTCTCTCCCCCCCCAATTTGGGTCCTGCAGGCATGCATCGGTTCTCTCAGACACTAGTAGAGCAGAGGCAGGATTGGATAGAGAAGCAACTGGAGGATGCACTGAGGGAATAAACAGTTTGCAGCCCAACCAACAGCTTGGGCCAGTCACATGCTCAGGGAGTCCCTGCCATCAGCCTCTGGTCCATGGAGCTGGGGCATCCACCGGGTGCTGTCACAGGGGAATCAGTGGGCTCCTCCAGAAATGGGCTCATCTGAGCCAGTCATTACTCTCCTTAAGCTGAGCATCTGTCATTTTTAGAAGCCTTGCCTCTTTTTATTCTTTGCTAGCCATTGTATGTGTGCGCAAAATGATTTTATGGGGGTTAGGGTGGGAAAGGCTAGAGAAATAAAGGGAGCTTTCTGCGTCCCTACTTAGATGGGTTGATTTTTGTATTCAATACCCAATAAATTCTGTATGCTCTTAAGTTCTAGGCTTGTTTTATTTCTTCCCCATTCTTTATAATCACCCTTGGGAACTATTTAACTTTTTTGTCCTTTTATTTTTAAATTCTAAGGCAGGTTATATATGTGAAAAAATACTGTGAATTCATTGGATGAATGAGGGAGCATATGGGACCAAAAGAAAAGGGCAAGATGTGAACCAGGGATGCTCTTGGGAATCTCTGTAATGGTAGCTAATAGACAGTCCTCCAAGGCAGTTCACTATACATATCATATGTGTATCCTTGGAAAAGACAGTCTAGAACAAAGGCAGTCAGTGTCCCTGCTTCCAAGACAGGCAATAATGTGAGAGACCCAGAAAGAGTCATCGCCTGACAGTATCTACAACCTTGCTAAATTCACTTATTAGCCCTTATTGTTTTGGGGGGATTTATTTGAATTTCCAATGTACCCAATCATGTTGCCTATTAAAAAAGATAGTTTTCCTTCTTCCTTTTTTGTATTTATTTCTTATTTTTCTATTCTAATTGCATTGCCTAGAACTTCCAGCCCAATTTTGAACAATGATGAGAGGGGACATTCTTGCCTTGTTGTCAATCTTAGCAGGATTGAGTTCAGTCTCAAGTATAACGTTGCTGTATTTTCCATACTGTCCTTTACCAGATAGAAAAGTTCCCTTCAGTTCTAGTTTGCTGAGAGTTTGACCATGAATGGGGTTCAGTTTTGTCAGATGTTTTGATCTCTACTGCTAGAGATGACATAATTTTTTTAAATGCTTAATGTGGTAAATTACATTGATATTTTAAAAAATGTTAAGCCAATGTCATAAACTCCATATAGTTATGATGTATCATCCTTTTATATATTTTTGGATTTCATTTGATATTAAGAATGTTCCATCTATTTTCATGAGGGATATTGTGATATATATGTCACAATATATCACAGTATATTATGGTGTCCAGGTAAAACTGACCCCAAATGTGTGGGGAAGTGTTCCTTCCTCAATTTTCTGAAAGTTTGTATCAAATTGACTTTTTAAAAATATTTAAATGTTTGGTAGAATTCACCTGTAAAGTCATCTTTTGTTTTCTTTGTGGAAAGACTTTTATTCTCCACCACTCCCCCCAACACACACACACACACACACACACACACACACACAATTTCTGTAACAGAGATAGGGCTATTCAGATTTCCTATTTCTGTATCAGTCTTAGCAATTTGTATCAAGAAAAATTTTGTTTCATCTAAGTTTAATTATTGACATATAAGGGAATATTATTACACTTTTACTCCTTTAATAGCTGTAGGATCAATAGTGTTTATCTTCTTTTTCTTTCCTGATATCGAAATGAGGTTTTTGATCAACTAATCTAAATGTTTATCATTGTATTAATCTTTTCGAAGAACCAACTTTGGGTTTCATTGATTTTTCTCTATTTATGTTTCATTTCCACTCTTACCTCTATTTCTTATTTACTTTGGGTTTAATTTGCTCTTTTTCTGGCCTCTTAATGTGGAAGCTTAGATCAATGGTTTTAAGCATATTTTTGTTTTGTTTCCTAATATAAGCCTTTAAAGCTAGTGATCTCTCTCCAAGCATTGCTGTAGCTACATATAATTTTGATATGTTGGGTTCTTACGATCATTCAGTTTTCTACTTTCCCCTTGTGATTTCTTTTTTTTTCATCTATGATTTATCTAGCCTATGTTGCTTAGTTTCCAAATATTTGGGGATTGATTATTTAGCTATCTTGGTTAATGACTTCTACTTTTGTGACGAAACAACATAAACTATGATTTCAATCCTTTGAAAGTTATTGAGACTTGTTTATGGCCAAGTATATGGTCTATTTTGGTCAACATTTCATATACACCTGAAGTGAATTCTACAGTTATTGGGTGTGGTGTTCTACAAATGTCAGTTAGGTTCAATTGTTCTGTAATGTTTAAATCTTCTGATTCTGTCATTTTATCAATCTTTCTATCACTGAGAGGGGCGCTACATTTTCCAGCTATAATTATTGATTTGTCTATTTCTCCTTTTTGTTAAGCTCTGCTTCATATATTTTGAATACACATTATTAGGGGTATAAACATTTAAAATTGCTATCCAGGTGAATTGACCATTTCATTATGAAATGTTTAAATTTTGGGTAATTCTTTTTGTTTCCAAGTCTATGTCAGATATTATGGACACCTCAGCTTTCTTACATTTTCTTTCTGTGTGTGTTAAAATACACCTAACATGAAATGTACCATCTTAACCATTTTTAAGTGTATAGTTCACTGGTGTTAAATACATTCCCATTGTTGTGCAGCCATCACCACCATCCAGCCCCATAAGTCTTTTCATCTTGCAAAACTGAAAATCTATACCCATTAAACAATACCCCATTATCTCCTTCCCTCAGCCCCTGGCAACCACGATGCTACTTTCTATGATTTTGACTATTCTAAGCACCTCATATGTGGACTCATACAGTGTTTTTTTGTGACTGGCTTATTTCACTCAGCATAATGTCCTCAAGATTCCTCCATGTTGTAGCATGTGTCAGGATTTCCTTTTTAAGGTGAAATAATATTGTATTAGACAATATTTTGCTTATCCATTCATTTGTTGATGGACACGAGTTGCTTCCATGTTTTAGCTATTGTGAATAATACTGCTATGAACATGGTGTACCAATGTCTTTGAGGCCCTGCTTTCAATTATTTTAGGAATATACCCAGAAGTAAAATGACTGAGCCACATGGTAATTCTATTTTTAATTTTTGGAGGAACCTCCATACTGTTTTGTTCAGCAGCTTTACTATTCTACATTCCCACCAATAGTGCAGAAGGGTTCCAATTTCTCCACATTCTTGCTAACACTTGTTTTCTGTTTTTGAATAGTAGCCATCCTCCTATGGTTGTTATTTGCATGGCATATTTTTTTCCAGTTTTACTTTAATCATTTGTTTTATTTAACATGTATGTTGCAAACACCATATACTTGAATCTTCATGTTTTATCCAGTCTGATCTTTTAATTGGCCCTTAGTCACTCAGTTTAATGTAATTATTAATATGGCTGAATTTAAGTCAACTACCTTGCTATTTGTTATCCATTTGTATCATATCCTCTGTTCATTTATCCTTCCTCCCTGCCTTCTTTCAGATTAATCAAACATTACTTAGTATTCCATTTCATTGACTTTTTTTGCTTCTCAGCTATACCTTTTGATTTAAAAAAATTGTTCTAGGAATTAATACTATATATACATTTCCAATGTCCTCAGGAGAAGTCCACAGTCCTTATCATAGTTTATTTACAAAGATTCATGACCTGACCCCTGCTTGTATCTCCAGCCTTTCTCCCAAACCTGGAAAGCTCTAGAAGTACTGAAAAGTTCATTAATGTTCTACACCGGCTCTAACCTTCAAGGCCCTATCAAAATGTTCCATCTGCTCTAACACCCCACCGTCCAGCTAGCTAACTAGGACTCATCCTTCAGAACTCAACCTAAGTGTTCAGGGTGAATGGACTTGTGTAGGGCTTCCTGTGTGGGGCCAGTGTATGTGTTTCTGGGGTGAGGTTAAATCTATCTGCTGTATGCTGCCATGGCCCTCAGCAATCCCTTTCCTAGCAGTTATCACGTGTATGATCAGCCGTCCAGGCCCGCTGTTTGATTTGCTCATAGCTGTATCTCAGGACTTTGCAGAGATCGGACACAAAACAAGCAATAAAACTACTTATCTGAATTAAATAGAATACTATGACTTAAATGGAGAAAATGGGCTTATTTTACAGAACAAAACCCCAAGGGTGGAAAACATCATGAGAATTGTTCTAGGTCAAATGGCAAGGCCACAGTGAAGACAAGTGGAGTGGTCAGAAGGCAGCCAAGTCTTCCCCGCCATACTTGGGTTGAGGGAATCTGCTGATGTCTTTTCATGGGTAAAGGAGACTTTCTACTCAAGGCTCTGCATGCCCGGGCCCTGGATAGTCTAACTGCCAAAGCCCCGTCTAATTCACTACCAAAGCCCCAGAATATGTAGGGCCCCTGGCAGAATTCAACAAATGTTCCATAGATCGAAAGGAGAAGAAATGACAAATTCAGGTGAAAAACTCCCATAAGGGAAGGATATTGAAAGGACTCCCTCGCCTTAGTATAGAAAGGCTTCTCCGTGGGCCACAACCAGGCATATTTGCCAAGAAACCCCCTGGCTCTAGCAGCCTCAACATTGGGTAACTAAGGCCGGGAGGCAGAGGAGGGCGCCCCCACGAGCCAGCTGGGGAGACCAGAGCCAGGAGGTGGCCCCGGGCGCTCGAACAACAGAGCACGGAGGTGGCAGCCGGCCACCCGCCCCTCTCGGTGGTCTCCGCCCTGGGCGTCTTCCCCTTCTCTGGCTTCTCCTCTGGCCTGGGCGGTCAGCGGGCACCGGGAGGGTCAGGGGAGCCCTGGTCCCCGCGGTGCGACCGCATGTGCACCGGGTATCGCGCAGGCCACACGGAGGCGTCCTCCCGCCTCGGTCGCAAGGGGGCGAACTTCTCCCTAACCAACCCGGGAAGTCACAGGGCGTGGACACTCCCTGGCCCCCAGTCCGGGTGCGCTAGGACTGGGTTCCCCGTGCATGAAGCACCGACACTGTGCTGGTGTCTCCAGAGTGTTCGCGTTGCACCTCCAGCTCGGCCAGGTCGCTGTGATCCCAGCTGTGCAGACAAGGAGCCCACCATTTGTGACAGGCTCGACTCTGCAAAAGTCTCTGTCCTTCCGTCTCGAAGCCCTGTGCTCCAAACACACTTCCTCCTTCTGGAACCTGGAGCCGTGCAAGGGTCTGCCGCCTGCAGAGGCCCTGGTGCTTTCCTGTGCGCAGCGTCCGCCTCACTGCGGGATCTGAGGCCTGGTCCCGCGCGCAGGTCGGGCTGTGGACTCGCCTCTACCCTGCCAGACTCTCGAGCCCACCTTTGGCTCCCGCGCGGCTCAGAGAGGGTATCCGGCCACCCCCGGCCCCAGGCTGAGCGGACCTTGGCCCTTCCTCTGGCCTGGGCTCCGGAGGGACCCAGGTGAGCGCTGGGGAGCCCAGCCAATGGGGGAGGACTCCTGAGGAGACTTCGCGGAGCAAAATGTAACCGGGGAGCCCCAAGGCTCTTAGGCTGCTGGCTGGTCCCCCATCATTTAGTGTGTCCCGAGTTATTTGGTGTGTGCGGCTTGTGCGTTAGGAACGGGAAAATTTGCAGAGTTGTGATAAGAATATATTTTACTGAACTTTGGCCATGAGCCAGGATTTGTTTACGCGCCTTATCTACGTTTACTCATATACGTACATCCTCACTGCTACACTATGAAGTAGTTACGGTTATACCCATTGTGCAGATGAGGACACTGCCTTAGAAAGTGGAGGAACTTTCATCTGCTTGCGGGATGAGACCACGCAATCCTGGCACCCACGCCTCCCACCATTGGGAAGGAAGAGGGAGCTCTGGAGTTCTGCCTGGGCGCCTGCACTTGCAGAGATCCCCACCCTCGGCCCCATAGGCCCCACCCGAGGTTTGCTTCAGATCATCAATCATCTCATCCCTCCATTTACCTGTAATTACATCAGTCACTACAAGACACCTTGGGACTCCAGGCTTTTTCTGCTTTAAGTAGAAATAGTCTAACCTGGGTTTTTGAAATTCAGGTCAGCAAAAATGGAAAAAGACTATTGGTGACCCTTAAGCTGCAGAATGAAAACCCCACCCAAGTAAAACAAGCAGCTATATAGTAAAGTCATATAAATGCAGCAAGTGCAAACCCTGGCAAGGAATACATCCTTAACAGAATTTCCTTGAAGTAATTGCACACATAGTTACAACTAGTCAGGGACACAAGGTACAATTAGTATATAAAATTAAATGAAGGGCAGATAAAGAAGGGGGAGAGCCCCATGACTCCCAATTCATTTTTGCTGCTTTGTCCTGTGGAAAGTCCTTGATCAGGCATTGAGCGCTTTTGTCTTTTTTGCAGATGTTCTCCCTCCCTCAGAAGGAATCCGGGACGCCTACCGCCCTTGTGGACCCAACCTCCACACAGGGCCTGGACAGTAACTATGGGGATGTCCTGGGAAGAGAATGTGCCAGAAAACCAGACCAGAAGCTGCCGAAGCTCTATGGAGTGGGTGATCCCACCGCCATGTTCTCCTCTGAGAGCTCCCACCTGTCCTCAAGAGGAAGAATCATTAAATGGTTTTGGGACTCGGCTGAGGAGGGTTACAGGACCTACCACATGGATGAGTATCATGAGGATAAGAACCCCAATGTGAGTGAAGCCCTCCTCCCCAATAAAGGACTGCAGGGTGGGATACCCTACCTTGACCTATAGGGCGGTACCCGGCTTGCTGTTGTCAGGTTGGACTTACTGTCCTCTGACCTCCAAGAGGGCTTCTGATGTAGCTAGAGAGGCCCCAGTTTATTAACTGGATCAGAAAATGGCCCCGTTATAATTAAGGGGACCTTATTCGTGAGGAACTCAGAATTGTGGAATATCCCCTAATATGGATTCTGACCCACTGTCCATCAACTATTCAACTTTAGAGCTTGGGTGGAACCAGGGCTTGGGATGCAACTGTTTCACTTGTGGGTTGTGTATTCTTGAGCTAATTATTTAACCTCTTTGAACCTCGGTTCATCTCTAAAATGAGATAATGATACCTGCTTTATAGAATAGTGACAATTAAATGAGATCAGGTATGTAAAGTTATTATCACAGTGTTTCCATGTAGAGCACTCAGTAAAGAGTAGCTGCTGCTATTATTATTAATGTTATGTTAATATATATAATGTTATAGATACTATTATAATAATTAATGTTATTATAAGTTATTATTAGTAATACTTTCAGAGGGCAGAGATCTGTCATAAATAACCTTTTAATAATCTTTATTTCTTGAGCATCTACCAGTGCTGGGCACTGTTCTAGATGCCAGGATTATAGCGGTGGACAAAAATAGAGTTTCTGTACTCATGGAGTTTATAGTCTAGTGGGGGAGATAGACAGTGAAGAGAATACGTGTATATATAGGAACCTGAATGGTTGCCTCAGGCTAAAGAGCTTCTGTGAAGTTGCAGTGAAGCTGGGGCTTTCGTCTCATCTGAAGTCGTGGCTTGGTGGGGGAGGAGGGCCCACTTTCAAGCTCACTTAATGGCTGTTGGCAGGACTCCGTCCCTCACCACATGGGCTTCTCTGCAGAGCTGCCTCATGACATGGCGGCTGGCTTCCCTCCAGGCAAGTGATCCCAGAGAAAATCACACGTACCCCAGACAGAAGCTGCGGACTCTACAACCTAATCTTGGCACTGACATCCCATCCCTGCTGCAATATTCTGTTCATTTGAAGCAGGTCACTAGGTCCAGCTCACACTCAAAGAGAAGGGATTCCAATACTGTAGACAAGAACTGCTGGTGGTTTGACCAGGGTCTGGGCAGTGGAGGGTGAGAGCTGGTTGGACTGTGCATGTATTCTGAAGGTAGAAGTGACAGATATTGGATGGGTTAACTGTGGGTAGAAGAGCCTACCAGCTTGCTCCCCAGGGCATGAAGGAGCACTGCCTTCTAATTGTCATAATCTTAGGTCATCCAAGCTCTAGTTTTTCATCCATTTCCCCCAATAACTCAGGGGCCAGGACTTATAGTGCATGCACATCTCTGGGGACCCTACAGGACAGCTTGGGCTGTGCCTTTCCGCCTCCCTCTCCTATGAGAATAAGTCCTGATGGGGTGGGGATCAAGGTGTTGTGTGATGTCCTCCAAACCTCTTGGTGGAGCTCTTCTACCAGCACAGAGGCTCTTCTTGATAACATTCACCCTTGTTTCTGTTCCTGCCAGAGCACCAGTTTACTCTGTACATTCTTTCGTCTCTAAACATGTACTGAGTCCTATTAAGCCCCTGAAAGATATCCCGGTGTCTGGGCATGCATCCGGCCTCCAGGGACATTACCGTCTAGTTGGGGAGATAAAGCATGCACAGCAGTCCCTGTGACCTAGGCAGAAACTGACCAGCACTCTAAAGGGGGACAGGTAAAGAGCTTCGGGGCTCAGAAGAAGAAAAGATCCCATCCAGGCGGGCTTTTGGGGAAGGCTTCCTGGAGGAGATGGCATTTAAACGGAGCTTTAGAAATGGTTACATGGGATCAGGTTGCTGAGTGGAGGGTGCAGCCTGAGCTAAGTCAAGGTAGAGTAGTTAGAAGGGTGGGCTGCAGAGAGCTTCCGCTTTGCTGCTTCCTCAACCTTTAATTGACTCCCTTGCCATGCTCACCTGGCCTCTGTACCTCTCCTCTCCAGGGCATCATTAACTTGGGCACCAGTGAGAACAAGCTCTGCTTTGACCTGCTGTCCAGGCGGGTAAGTCCTGGTTCATCTCTGGGTGGCAGCACTGGCTTCTCTCGGACTCCCGGAAATGCTTCCCCCACGAGACCCTGCCGCTTGCCTCAGCAGCCCTGGCCTGGGAGTCGGGAGTCCAGGTTCTAGCTGCGTCTCGGGGACAACTTCCTCTGTGGTTTTGGGCCAGTCACTTCCCTACTCTCATCCTGTTTTCCTCATCCCTTCAGGCTCTTCCCCTCACTCAGTCCCTCCTGCCAGCTGGGTCCCTGCTCTCAGGGGAACACGCAGTGAGGTGTGGTTGATATTAAACAATGGGCTTGGGGTGGAGGGTGCAGCCCTGATCTGTAGCTTTTGCCAATTCCCACAGTGTAAATACTCCTACCATGGTCAATTTCAAGCTACTGATGTGACATCACTGCTTGCAGAGCTGGGAAGAGAGGCACAGTGGCACACATATATAGTGTGTGTGTAATGTGCAATGGCACATTTATATAGTGTTCCCCCTTCTGGACACATAGACGGAAGTAACCTCGAAAGCACAGATAATAGTAAAATGTGGTAACAATCAGGAGCAATGCTTTTTGAGCACTTACCACCTTTGTTTTTAATATAATTTACTTATATAATTTATATATAATTTGTATAATTTAACTTTTGAAATGGCTTTTCTTTTTAACACAGCTTGAACATTTTCTGGAAATTTAATAATCAGATTTCTTGAGCTGGTATGAGCCATCTATAGCAAACCACTGAAAATACCTGATAAATGTGTCTCCCAAGGCCTAAAATTCAGAGTTTGGAATTATGGGGAAAGCGATGACTAACCCAAGGGGACATGTGTCAAAAGGTGACAAATCCAAGTCCCAAGAGGAGAGGGGTGTAGAGAGCAGGCTTGAAAGGCCTGCTCTACCTAAAGCCAGCTCCCCCCTTCTCAAGCCACTCAGCACCATTTAGTAGAAATAAAATGTAAGCCACGTATATAACTTTAAATTTTCTATGAAATGAGTAAAAAGGAACTGGTAAGATTCATTTGAATAATATAGTTTATTTAGCTCAATATAGTATTTAAAATATGACCATTTCAACATGTAATCAATATTAAAAAATTATCAATGAGATATTTTACATACTCTTTTCAGATCATGCCTTCAATATCCAGTGTGTCTCAATGCAGACCAGCCCCATTCCAGGCACTCAATAGCCACTTGTGGTTAGTGACCGCCCCATTGGACAGTGCAGCTCTAATGGATAAACCACAAAGGGAAAGGCTAGAGTTACATACACATGGCTGATGACCTTTCTTTTTTTGGTCCCACTGCCCAAAGCCCCTGCCTTTCCTTGACATTGTGTGTGTGATGCCCTGGGCGTCACTAACCCAGCACCTGGTCAGGTTGGGGATGGCCTAGACATGGCCACGTTTTCCAAAGTGTGAGGTTGAGCTGAGCCTGCAGGAAGACAGCGGCCTGAGTCCCTCCAGAAGTTGGAGCCAAGACCGAGGTGATGGGGCCCAATTCTGGGACCTCTTCCATCACCACATGGAGGAGCTGAGGAGGACTGTGTCCTATCAGTGCCTCTGTGAATCCGCCCCTCTGCTTTTGTTAAGTGGAAGAGCTGTATAAAGAGCACTGGACTAGGAGTCAAATATTCTGGGTTTCGTCTCAGTTCTGCTGTTCGTTAGCTCTGAGACCTTGGCTGAGTCTCCTCCCTTTTTTGAGCCTCGGCTTTGTCATCAGCGAAATGGGTACGAGTGTGCTGTCCCCGTGCTGCCCCCTCACGGTTTCTTTGATGAGGAGACCAAGTCGTTGGCTTTAGAGGCCCTGGTGCTGGGTGGATGTGGGTGGCAGTGCCAGCCCTCAGTGGGAGGGTGTGACCCTTAGTTCTGCTCTTTCCTGTCTGTCCCCAGCTGAGTCAGGATGACATGCTGCAGGTGGAGCCATCACTGCTGCAGTACCCTGACTGGAGGGGACATCTATTGTAAGTAGTTGCCGTAGGCCAGTTGTTTACGGCCCCAAGGCAGTTTTGCTGCCCTAGGGACATATGGCAATGTCTGGAGACATTTTTGATTGTCACAACTGAGAGGGGGGGGGTGCTACTGGCATTTACTGGGTAGAGGCAAGGGATGTTGCTAAACCTCCTACAATGCCCAGGATAGCCCCCCACAACAGAGAGTTATCTGGCCCCAAATGTCAATAGTGGCAGGTCGAGAAAGCCTGCCCTAGGCGGAGGGCCTAGTCCTGGAGACGTGGTGATCATGGGTCTCCTGGAGCATGTGTGTGGAACTGGTGCCTCCCGCCACTCCCACCGCAGCTCAGGAGCTCGCTAGCTTGGTTCCTCTGGGGCTGAGTCACGGAAAGGGCCTTCAGGTGAGGAGTCTGTGTCCGCACTTTCTTAGCAGCTTTAGAAGAGCCAGAATCAGTTTAAGGGAGCTGGCTGGGGCCTTCTCCTGCTGGTAAGGTGGGAGATGGTAAATAGCACCAGTAAGAGTTTGTACTTATTGAGCACTTACCAGGGGACAGATGCTGTCTGAAGGGCTTAGTGATTGAGCAGGACTTGATTCCAAGAGTGATTTTAAAGCACGTGTTCTTATAGTAATTAGCCCAGTGAGACCACTGAGCTCGAATGTGGACCGTACCATGTACCAGCAAGTGACCTAATTCCTTCAAGTCTCAGTTTCTTTGTCTGTGAAATGGGAATAATAATAGTAGTAGTTGCATCATAGGGTTATTATGAGGATTAAGTGAGTAAAGTTATCCAAATAACACCTGTATAAGGTAAATGCTCAATAAATCTTAGCAATAATAACTATGGTAATAGTTATAATAATGTTTATGTTTATTATTATTGTTATTATTATTATTACTATTAGCTAGATCTACATATAAAGTGTTGCTTTTGATGTCCCTGAAGTCTGCTGATTGGTAGGGTTGGCTGTCCTAGAACCACTGAGAATGGAAGTTTCGATGCCTGTGGGTAGTGCTGGGGCTGGGCTGGGGTCGGGGTGGGATGGAAGGTAGGTGGGTACCAAGGAGTAGAGAGAAATACTGATCACACCCCCATCTTGGGAAACAAGGAAGGGTAGTGGCAGCTGCCTGCAGATTCACTGGAGCAGCTTTGGGGTGCACTGTGGGTTGAAGATCCTCTGACAAGCACTGCCTGTGTATCTTATCTCCAGCCTCCGGGAGGAAGTGGCCAGGTTCTTGTCTTTCTACTGCAAGAGCCCCACACCCCTTAACCCGGAGAATGTGAGTAGACCCCCTCCTCTGCTCTTTCCTGCACTTCTGCCCTGTTCCCCAACTTTTGGCTGGCCGGGGGTAAGGTGGGGTTGGGATCTGCCTTTCACTTAGTTTTGATTTATTTCCAAGTGGAATTAGGAACACCCCCCTCCCTTTCTTCCCCCTCATCCTAGACATTTAGAGTTTGGGTATACTTTCAGCCCCACTTTGTTCTGTGGCCCCTCTGCCTGTACACCTTTGGGCAAGACTCTGAGTAAGCAGCTCCCTTTTCTTCGCTCAGTTGATCTAGAGCGGGTCCCCACGAATGAGCCACATGAGTGAACTTGACTCTCAGTCAGGAGGAGCCTTCAAGTACCTCCGGTGGCTTTGCCGTGACAGAGCTCCAGAAGGCACCCTCTGTGCCATCCTGGGACAGAGGCTGCAGGTTCTTGATCACTCCTTAAACAGATTCATCTTTGTCCCATGGATGTGTCACCCTCAGGTGGTGGTTCTGAATGGCTGTGCCTCCCTCTTCTCTGCCCTGGCCACGGTGCTGTGTGAGGTGGGGGGTAAGTGGACTATGGCCCGCTCAGCACTGGGAGCTGCCCTGTGCCTGCAGTGTCCCCAGCTGCCTGTCCTCAAGGGCTGCATCAGAATGCTTTTGGACGTAATAGAGTACTAGACTACAGGGGCTTTAAATAAGTGGCTCAACAGGACACCCAGGGATCGGCAGTTCCAGGGGACGTCAGTGTGATGCCCGGGTTCTGGGCTGTTTCTCTGTGATGACCTTGGCCTTTCCTCATGCTCACAAAGGGCTATCCCATTCTCACATGGCAGCGTGTCCTAAAGCAGGAAGAAAGGGAGGTTGCGCCTTGCCTGTCTCTTGTGTATTGACGGGGAGGAATGGAGATATTCTTTCCCAGAAGCGTCCCAGCTGAGCTCTCCTTGCATCTTAATGCCCAGAACTGACTCACAAACCCTGGCAAAGTGGAGGAGAGCCATGGTTGTTTCAAGCCAAACGTGGCTCATCCCCCAGGCTCGGGGAAGGCCCACCTTCCTTGGACCCGTTGCTGGTCATATCTGAAAAATCCTCTTAGCAAGGAAGGAAATTGAAATGGCTATTGAATAGGCAACCTGCTTCAAGAGCCATGGTCATATTGAGAACACATTGGCCACAGTCATGGTCAGGGGTTGTCAGGAACAGAGGCCCACTCACGCTGGCTTAACTAATAATAATAATATTAGTAACATTTACTGACCACATACTACATTCCAGGCACTGGCCTCAGGCTTTATGCATAGCTGCCATTTAATCCTCACATCAACCCCTGTGAGGTAGGTTCTATGATTATCCTCATTTAAAAGATAATGATATTAAGGCACAGGGGGTTCGTAACTTGTCAAAATCACACACAGAGAGAGGTAGTAACCAGGATTTGAACCACAGAAGGATGATTCGTTGCCAGGATGTAATGGACAATTTCCTATCCATTCTGGAACAGTCTAGAACCATCAAAAATGGGATCAGCATCGCAGCCTTACCTCTCCCTGGGGTATGGCAGTCTCCCTCCCCCCTCTTTTAATGCAGGCCGTTCTCTGGACCTTCCTCGGCTCCTGTGTGCCCGGTGGTGCTGGCCCAGCTCCAGTGCCACAGGACCATTCCATTGAAGTGCACAATCTTATCTCACAGCGTCTGCGCTTCTCAGACCAAAGTCTTGAGAGAGAGAACGTAATGGGTTTCTGGCCAGCCAGGGATTGGCTCCCATGGGCCATTTGTCTACCTCTGGTCCAATCCCTGTGGCCAGGAAAGGGAACACGTAGGACAAAGGCTGCCCCTTGCAGAGTTGGGTGGACTGTGTTAAAGGGGGGTTGGGAAGGGAGAGCAGCTTGACCTATGCACCCTCTTCAGACGTGGAGGGATGCCTTTGGCTCTGCGTTAGAGTAGAACTTCCGGGTCATCTTATCAACCCCTCCACCCACAGCTAGTCTCTGGGTGACATCCTCTCCCTACCAAATGGTCTCAGCCTTTTGTTTGAATGTCCCCAGGGGTGCAGAACCCACTCTTCCTGAAGTAGCATATTCTATCTCTGGGCAGTCATTTGTGTTGTCAAGATTTTCTGCTTGTGGAGCCCAGGTCGTCAATCACCCTGCAGCTTCAACTCCTGGATCCAAGTCTCCTAGGTCAAGTGCCTCAGTGGGATCCTCTAAGCTTCAGCTTCCTCGTTGGTAAAGTTAGGATGATAATAGTGCTTAACTTCACAGAGTGATTGTGAGGATCAAATGAGATAAAATGCAAATCAATGTTTAGCACAATTCCCAACATGTAGTAAGTGCTCAATAAATGTTAGCTACTCATTATTAGAAAGGGGAGTAATCTCAATGGATCCAAGAATTTTTGAAAGAGTTCTGGGTGTTGAGAGAGCGAGTACTCGTATTCCCCAAATGTTCCCCAAGATCATTGAAGGCTTGGAGAGGGGTGAGGCCAGTAGACGGGGGCTCTGGGTGTTCCAGCCAGAGGGTGACAGACCCTGGCCCACTCCTGCCCCCAGAGGCTTTCCTGATCCCTGCCCCTTACTATGGAGCCATCACGCAGCACGTGTATCTCTATGGCAACGTCCGACTGGTCTGTGTCTATCTGGACAGTGAGGTAAGAGTTCCTGGAACCCCAGGTAGGACCTGCCAAGACTTCCCTGCATCTGAATGTGATGGTGAACATGGGAGGATGTCCATGCTGAGGGTTCAGGGATTATGTCTGAAAGGGTTCTGTAATGCATGGCCCATGCCTGGGTTCCCCAGGGGCTCCCAGTCTCCCAGCTCTGCGATCTCTGGGGTCAAGTAGAAGCCAAGGGCAGCCCCAGGGAGAAATAGTGGGGTGAGGATGGGGCAGAGCAAATCTCAACATAGATGTCCTTGGACTCCAAGCAGAGGACCTCTGGGGCCTCTTCCTACAAGCTAAGAGTGATGAGAGTGTCCCTGATGTGATGGGGCGGGGGTGGGTGGCAGTGAGATGGGAGTGACCCCCCTTGTTCTAAGGAGGCTAGAGATGACAGGTAGGAGAGGCCCCCAGAGGTCAGCTTTGGGGGGTGTCACTGAATTTGGCTGTGGGTCTTTTTCCAGGTCACTGACCTGGACACTCGCCCCTTCCAGCTCACAGTGGAGAAGCTGGAGATGGCCCTGCAAGGAGCTAATTCTGAGGTCTGGGGATCAAATCCAATCCAAGGCTGGGAGTGGGTGGGTCTGAGCAGGGTACGGAACCCTCTTCCTGTGGCTGATCTCCTCCCGGGTGGGGTTGGCACTCCGTGATTGGAGTCAGGGGTAGGCACGGAACCATTCTGGAGGTCAAGCGAGAGCCTGTTCATGGAGGGACTTCCCACTAGAGAAAGACTGAGACCTCGGTGTACAAATCAGAATCAACCAGGGAACTTGATTAAAAATTCCCCGCCCCATTCACCTGATTCTGATTTAATGGGTCAAGTGTGGAACTTAAAAGTTTGTAGTTCAGTAGTTTCCCTGGTGATTTGAAGAGGTGGTCCCCCTCATGCAGAGGGAATCTGAGGCCTCCTGAACAAAAGCACAGGCCAATAATCCTCCAGGGGTTCCTTTACAGTCCACTTTTCAAAAATCCGTCAACTTAATTTTTTTTTTTTTTTTACCGTGGTCATCAAAGCTGTACATGCCCACTGTGGGGATTTTAAAAGTTCACCCCTCCCACCCCATAATTCTACCAACAAAAGCAACCGCTGCTGGCATTTGGACATATTTCTTTTTGGGCTTTGTTCTCCGCATTTGTTTTCTTTCATAGCTGATGCGATGCTGTAGATTCAATTCTATGTGCCCTTATTTGCTTCATGTTGCGTGGTGAACACGGTCCTATTATATTTCCCTGGGAGCCCACTCAGCGACCGGCCCCATCCCGTGGGACCATGTGGCTCTTGTCTTCGGGGAGAGCTGAGGGTCTCCTGCCCCATTGGTGGTTTCAGGGTGTGAGGGTCAAAGGCCTCATCCTCATCAATCCCCAGAATCCTCTGGGTGACATCTATTCCCCAGAAGAGCTGCAGGAGTACCTGGAATTTGCTAAGAGGTGAGGCACCCCACACTCACCCTACGAAGCGTCCAGCAGATCAGAGCTCTGACACAGGCTTTGGGGCAGGTCCTTGTACCCTTCTGTCTCCACTGTGGCTTCCACCAGCATGGGCCCCTCCTGGCGGTGGGGTGGGGAAGTTTGTGGGATGCTAGCTCTCTCTCTCTCTTTCTTTCTGTAACAATAGCTATCATTTATTGCACACTCTCACTCTAGGAGCCAGGCACCCTGCTAAGCAGTTGAGACTTTATGTCAGTAATCCTCCCAACAATCCTATTGGGTACAGATACTGTTATTAACCCCAGTTGACTGAGCCTTAGCGTGAGGGGAGGAGCCAGGCTTGAATCTGGGTCTGTTTGTAGTTAACTCTCTTGCATTTAACTGTGCCCTGCCTCCATGGGGGTGCCTGAGGGCCCTGCCTCTCCCCCACAGGGTTTCAAAAGCCCCACTGTCATCTGCTTTGTGTATGAGGCTTCCTGTGTGTTTGAAAAATATGGTCAAAAAGCAGGTTGTTCCTGGATAAAACAAGTTTGGTAACCCTGGGCTAGACCCGGTCCCTCTGATTTTCTGATTCACTGCTACCCCACCGTGAAGGATGCATTTGGCCTCTAAACCAAGCTCTCTCCTCCCTGCCACCTGCCCCCAGGCATGAGCTGCACGTGATGGTGGACGAGGTCTACATGCTGTCTGTGTTTGAGGAGTTGGTTGGTTACCGCAGTGTCCTAAGCCTGGAGAGGTGAGGCTGCCCCGCCAGAGCTGACTGTGCCAGCCCTCTCACCCAGGGTGCCCTGGCCCCTCTGAGGCTCTGCCCACAGGGCATGGCTGCCCAAAGTGGTTCCTCTTCCATCCAGCTGCCCTCAGAGCTTTTAATGAGAAGATGGGTGAGGGAGGGCTGGGCCAGATCAGTGGGTTTCAGATTGTCCTGTGGGGTTTCTGGAGCTCCAAGGGGAGGCCCTAGGATTCCTCCAGGGAGGGCTGGCTGGACGGGAAACTGGCCTTTGCTGTTTCATTCATCCCCCCGAGTAGCTCCAGTTCCATTTATTCATTCACTCCCTCACTGATTCATTCAGCAGCTATTCTGGCACCTCTTGCCTATGCCCCACACTTCCGGCTGTTTGATCTTTTTCAGTAGTTTCTGCCAAGAATTTGTGACCAAAACACCTTTGGAAACACTTGGACCAGATCATCTGTAAAGTCTGTGAATCTGACATTTAGAGATTCTAACAGTTCCTGATGTCTGTTCAGACCTTTCAGCCCCGCTGAGCCACTTCTCTCAGCGAGTCCTCCAAAGCTCTGCCAAGTCCATGGAGCACGGGCTGTTACTCCCTTCATTTATGGATTAGAAAAGTGAGACATAGATAAATAGTGACTTGTCATCTACTCTGTACCAGAGAAGGCCTGTTTGAGGAAATAACACTTGAGCCATGCTCTAAATAAAATATTTTTAGATTTGATGGCAAATATTTTAGCCTCTGCAGACCATGTGGTCTCTAATTCAACTCTGCCATTTTGGCACCAAATCATCATAGACAGTAGGTACATGAAAGAGCGTGGCTGTGTTCTATGAAAACTATTTCCGAAAGCAGGCAGCAGGCCGGATTTGGCCCGCAGGCTCTGGGTGTGCTGATCTTTGCTCTGAAGGATGCATGGGAACTGGTGATTCAAGAGAGGAAACCAGGGCTTCTTCCAGAACCAGATTCATCCATCCACCTCCTCATGTGTCTGACCAGACATGTGAACTCTCGCGGGTTTTTGTTGTATCTGTTCCCTGTGCTCCCCGCAGGTTGCCTGACCCCCAGAGGACCCACGTGATGTGGGCCACCAGCAAGGTGGGTTCCTGGCTGGCCTCGAGGGTGTCAGGGCGGTGGAGGGCAAAGAGGTAGGTGGAACCGGCTGCCTCCGTGGAGGGCTGGTCACCACCTAGGGTGCCTTTCTCCTGCAGGACTTTGGGATGTCTGGGCTCCGCTTCGGCACACTGTACACAGAAAACCGGGACGTGGCCACTGCAGTGGCCTCCCTCTGCCGCTATCATGGTCTCAGTGGCTTGGTCCAGTACCAGATGGCACAGCTGCTCCAGGATCGCGGTGACTACCTGGGCCTGGTCACCTGAGAATATGGGGAGGGTGGTAGTCAGTGTGGGACTTGCTAGGGATCGTGCATGCTTCGCGATGAGAAGACTTTAAGGTGGTGTTTGAGAGTACCAGCTGTGGACCCAGGCGGGGGTCATACCCTACACAGTCACTTCCTGGCCGCATGGCACATTCCTTTACCTCCTGAGCCTCAGTTCCCTCATCTGTCAAACAGGGATCATAATGGTACCTGTCTTATAAGGTGACTAAGTGTGATTTGTCATCCAATCAGGATAATATCTGGCCTATGAGGTGTGATTAAAAAAAATACGGTGAATGTTTAAATTAAAAAAATGTATTACAATAAAAGACACATTCCATTAACCCCCCTCAAAATACTCCCCCTTGCTTTGAACACACTTATCCCATCGTTCTTGCTACTTTCTGAAGCAGTTCTGAAAGTCCTCTTTTGTGAGTGTGTTTAGTTGCGCTGTCATGGCTGCCTCGATGTCTTGAATCATTTTGACTTTGGGGAAGAGCCAGAAGTCACACGGTGCCAGATCAGGTGAATGAGGTGGATGAGGACACACCGTAATGTTTTTACTCAACAGAAATCGCCATACCAGCAGCAATGTGTGACACGGAGTGCTGTCATGATAGAAGATGAAGTAAAAAGACACTCATGAAAGAGGACTCCAGAACTGATTCTGGCAAGAATGATGGGATAAGTGTGTTTGAAGTGAGGAGTATGTTGAGAGGGATTAATGGCAATGTGTCTTTTACTGTAATAAATATTTAAAATGTAAACATTTACTGTTTTTTTCGATCACACCTTGTATAATAGGCCCTTGGTCAATGTGAACTCATTATTATTAACTCAGAGCACTGAAAACAGAGCAGAAGCTACTAAGGGAAAACTATCATAGTGGAAACCTCTCTCTTTATGCAGATCTGTTCTGTTCCCCAATTCAGAGAGCACGTTTAGATAGCACAGGTGACCTGTAATTGCCACCATTTATTGAGCCCTGCCAGATGTTCTCAATGTACCATTTCATTTGTCCCTCCCCCGAATCCTAGGAAGCAGGTATTCCTGTATTTTCCCCATTGTTTTAATAGCTGCTATCATAGCCAAAACTTTTTAAATAGCGATAGCACCAAGCGTCGGCAAGGATGCAGGGCAGCTGGGACGCCCCTACGCCGCTGGCGGGAATGTGAGACGGTACAGCCACTTTGAAAAATCACTGGCAGTTGCTTAGAAAGATAAACACACACCAAATGGCCCAGCAGGCGCACTCCTAGATTGTTCCCCTTATGGTCACACACAATCCTCTATGTGAATGTTCATAGCTGCTCTATTCATCATCGCCTAATCTGGAAATGATGCAAATGTCCCTCCACAGATGAATGGTGAAACAAACAGTGGTGCGTTCACACACAGCAGAGGGCTACCCTGCCGTAAAATCCCACAGGCGTTAGGCCGAGTGGCAGAAGCCAGTCTCAAAAGATGATGTTACTGTATGATTCCACTTTTATGACATTCTGGAAAAGTGACGAAGGGCAGACCAGCAGTTGTGGGGAAGGGGATGATGGGACTATAAACAGTGCAAGAGTATTTTTGGGGGTGAGGGAACTGTTCAGTTATACAAAACCATACATGTGTTAAAATCCATGGAATGGGATAGTAAAAAAATAAATAAATTTTTTTTTAAAAAGGGGGAGGGTATCAGGGAGGCAAAGTTGCCCAAGGCCCCACGTCTTGTCTGTGGGCACCTGGAATCTGAACCTCAGCCTCCGTGGCTGGGAAGCATCGCTCTGTGTGTGGATTAGCCTTTGGTTAGGGTTTGCCTCCTGAGGGGCTTTGCCTGCAGGACCTGGAGCTGCAGGGCCACATATCCACATTTAAGGTGCTTTCTGCCCAGTACTGAATATTCCCATCGCCCCAATCAGCTGGCTAGAGACGGGGCTCACTCAGTCTTGGCAGCTCATGGCCTTTTTCTTTTCAGCGTTTTAGACTCGCGGGACAGAATGGAGGGTTGATGGGAGACTTATCTTTTGGCTTCTCTTTCACCGAAACAGACTGGATCAGCCAGGTATACTTGCCGGAGAACCACGCCCGGCTCAAGGCTGCCCACACCTATGTCTCCGGAGAGCTCCAGGCCCTGGGGATCCCCTTTCTGAGTCGTGGGGCAGGCTTCTTCATCTGGGTTGACTTGAGGAAGGTAAGGCAGGTGGAGCTGCAGGTGGAGAGGGAGTTTAAGCCTCCCTCCAGCGGGTGAGGAGCACGGTGTCTTCCTCCGCATCCTGAGCCCCTTCTACCCTCCCAGTACCTGCCCGAGGCCACCTTTGAGGAGGAAACGCTGCTTTGGCGCTGCTTTTTGGACAACAAGGTGCTACTGTCCTTCGGCAAAGCCTTCGAGTGTAAAGAGCCTGGGTGGTTCCGCCTGGTCTTCTCAGACGAGGCCCAGCGGCTTCGCCTGGGTGAGCCGTCAGCCTCCCCAGCCCCCTCCTTCTGCCCTCCCTCTTCTGGCCCCACCTGCGGCCCCAGCAGCCTCAGCTTGGTCCTCCCCACCCGCCCAGCCATCAGTGCTGACAGGGCCCTCACTTCCCCTTCCCAGGGATGCAGAGAGTCCGGCAGGTGCTTGAGGGCAAATCCCAGATGGCAGAAGACCCCCCTTCCTGTCAGACCCAGGAGCCAAGGGGCCAGCACAGGTGAGCTGGTCATTGCCCCATGGCCCTATGGCCACGGGGCTTGGCAGCCCCTGCTGACTTGGGTCTTCAGGGCTTCGAAGATGGCTGTGGATAAGCCATTTGCCAAGAAGATAGCCTTGCCCCTGAAGAAGAATTGTTCCTTGCCTCTCTTGGTGGCAGCGGGAGACTCCTTACGTTGTGGTTCAACCTGGCCCACCATCCCCAACCCCACCCCCACCCTCCATTAAATAAAACTGAGAGAAACTAGAAGCCTTTGCTGTGGGTAATTTACAGAATGGAGGAGTTGTGACTGCTCTTAACCACAGCCCTCAGCTCCCTGTGGACGTGAAAACAAACAACCCCACCTTCTTTTTAGTAGCACTTTCATTCTTCCTCCTTTGTTGCCAGGGAAACAAGTCAAAGGAACAACACATATAAAAGTATATGCATCCCAAACAAAAAAGAGTGATAATTCCCAAACTACAAGGAGAAAGGAGTTAATTCTACATGTTCACACTGTTCTCCACACTTAGGATGTGTGGGCCCATGGCACACCTGGGACCTAGGACAGGTCCCTGTTTGGGACGAGGTGAACGGGACCCCATCGGGGGCTTCTCTGACTCCAAGATGTTCTTCCTTCTCTTCCTTCCTGAGAAGGAGTCGCCTTCCCTGATGATCCCAAACCAGAGTCACTTAGCCATGACTTTGGGGGTAGATACGGGGCCGGACCCTGAACCGAGGCTGTTGTGGAGACTAGCTGACCAAGGCTAACCTTTCCACCCTAAGAATGCGAAGGGCTGCCAACCCCATCCCCAGGGGTGCTTTAGTTCACAGCCCCAAGGAGCTTTGTGGTCTGACCTTACAGCCATGTGTTGAGGACCCTTCTCTGGTGATGACACTCCAGTTTAGTAAAGCTGTCTCTTTCCTTGTTCCTGTTTTAAGAGAATGTCAGTGAAATCAGTGTTTCTGTAAGCCACACTATCTAGTTTAGGATTTATTTTCCTCTTTCTGCCTTTCATTCCTTCTCTCTGTCTTTTCTTGAATACTTTCTATGTGTCAGACACTGTGCTGGGTTAATTACGTGTATTAGTTCTAACTCTAACAACCCTGGGAAATTGACATTATTATCCCTCATTTTAAAGATGAGGAAACTGAGTCTCAAAGAGATGGATGACCATCCCAAAGTCACTAAACAGTAGCTCAAAAGTATGGGAGCCAGGATTCAAACTCAGGTTGGTTTGGTTCAAAATCCTGTGCCCTTTGCACTCTGACGATGCCACTTTCCTTGAAAGCCATGTCCTTGCTAACTCCTACTTCCACAGTTTCTGATTCACTGGCTAAGTGGGTCCCTGTGCCATCTTTGCTTTGTCCGGTACCTTCCAAGGGAACAATGTAACATCTTTCTACAGCCTCTCCTCCATAAGCACTGAGTACGAGGACACTTCTGTACCTTCTCAGGGATTTCAGGTCCCGGCTCCCACGCTTCTCTGCAGTCACCCTCAGCTCCTTTGGTAGCATGTCGATTCTAATATCACAGCTCCTATACTTCCTCACCTCCAATTGCTCGCATGGTTTCTACCCCTAGAAATGTAACTTATCTGTTTTAGCCACACTGGATTAAAAAACACTTGCTCTTTCTGATTGCTTCTCCTTGATCACATCTGTGTCTTTGCTCATGACTCTTTCCTTCGCTTGGAACGCCCTATTCACCTCTCTACTGGTCATAATCCTAGATATCAGCTCTTATATGAAGTCTTCCTATATCTTCCCAATGGGGTATGATTGCCTCCTCTTTTTTTTTTAAATTTTAATGACAGTTGACATTCAATATTATTTTATATTAGTTTCAGGTGTACAGCATAGTGGTTAGACATTTATATAATTTAGGAAGTGATCTCCCCTATTAGTCTAGTACCCACTTGGTACTATACATAATTATTACAATATTATTGACTATATTCCCTATGCTGTATTTTACATCCCCAGGACTATTTTGTAATTACCTGCTTGTACTTCTTAATCCTTTCACCTTTTTCACCTAGCCCCCAAATCCCGTCTCATCTGGCAACTATCAGTTTTTTCTCTGTATCAATGAGTCAGTTTCTGTTTTTGTTTGTTTGTTTTGTTCTGTAGATTCCGCAATTGCTTTCTCTTTTGAACCCTGTAACATTTTGTTTATATGCTCCCCTGCTACTTTTCACTTTCTGCTTTGGCTAATCGTGAATTTCTCTTCTTTCTATTGAGCTCCTACAGCATCTGGGAACCCTTTATTCATTCAAAAAATACGCACTGAGGACTTACTATGTGTCAGGCACTAGACACGCCTAGAGTTATAAAGTGAATAAGATAGGCGGGTTCCTCAAAAGCTATGGTCTTTAGCACGGAAAGTCCTCATCTAATGAAAGAATGACTAAAAACATATTCAATACAGAGAAAGCAAAGGAGAAAACAAAATGCTCTCCACTTATCTATTAATAGTTCTCAAGTGGGGTTTATATGTGCTAAATGTCCTATCATATTTGGGGGGTGTGGATTTGGAGGGCAGGGCAACGCTTTTCTAGATGTGGAGACGCAGAATGTGGGTTTCCCATCTCCAGAATACTCCGGTCCCAATCGCCCTGGATCTGTGACAAGCAGGCATTAACTCACAAGCATATTTCTGAAATCACTGTTCGGGCTGGAAGCCACAGTCTCTCCAGACTGACTCATCCCCATGAATATTTAAGCTGTAAGTGACAACTTCCACCAGATGGCGCTAAGGAATAGCTAGGACCAGCAATGGATTTGGATTTTGCCCCCAGTACCAGTAAACTGCATAGGCTCAGTGGGGTTATTTCATTACCCTCGCAGTAACATCAAGCTGAATTTTGATTGAATATTTTAGAGTCCACTTACTGCCTTATGACAGGGATTTTATTGTGCGTGTAGAAGGCTAGGCCATGTAAATAATTCAGAAACAATGAAAATAGAAGTCTCTCTTCCCCATTTCTGCCTCCACAATTTCTCTCCACAAAACTTAATTGCTTCTTGGATTTCTCCCAGGAAAAAAAATTATACATATGCCTGAATATATATATATATATATATATATATATATATATATATATATATATAACTAGAAGGGATCATACTCGCACACTATTTTGGACCACGCTTTCATATGAACATATGTTGAAGATATTTCCATACCAGCATATGTATGTACACTTGCATTATTCTAATCATGTTCCATAATTTATTTTGGCTGTGTCCAGTTTTCACTATTGTTAGAAACAGTACTGCAATGAATATTTTTGATAAATATTGTAGAGAACATCTATAGACTCCATACAGAGGGATTGTTGGGGGAAGGTTACCGCCTTTTACATTTGATAGATACTGCCAAATTGCCCTCCAGGGATGTTGCACGCTCACCAGTACTGATCAAATGTTTACCTTTTTGTCAGTTTTATAAGTGAAGCATGCCGCCTCGTTGCTTCAGTTTGTAGTTTCTTTAGTTATGAACAAGGCTGCCCAGCTTTGAGTCGAGTGGTACTGTGAATCCCGAGCTTGGCGCCTCTGCCTGGGAGAAAACCTAAAGCCGTGCCCTGACTCCTCCTGTCCAGCAGGGGGCGCAGGCCCGGGCCGCTCCCGCATGCGCAGTGCGCTCGGTGTCAGACGCCGAGCCGGATCGCCGGCGCCGCAGTCCCAGCTCCGTCGGGCAACCGCAGCCGGGCAGCCTTGGCCCGCGCCTTGCGACATGAGCCGGTGACCGAGCGCGGGGCCGCGCGGGAGGCAGCCGTGGCCGAGGTAAGCGCGGCCCGGAAGGTCCGGCGGGCGCCGAGGTGGGGCCTCGGGCCTCCCCGGGCCGCAGCGGAGTCGGGCCCCGGCTGCCGGGGAGGAGCGGGCGGTGGAGGCCCGAGGGCTGCGAGAGGCGGGGCGCCCCGCAGCCCAGCGGGGCCCGCTCAGGGCGGTGTACCGCTTTTGGAGCGCTTTGATTTCCGCACCGCCTTTTCCTTCACCTGGCTGCCCCGCACTTGGTTCCCACCTGTCCCCGCTGCCCGCTCCAATGCCCCCGTCCTCTCATTTCCCCGGGAACCCTGCAGCTGCCTTTTCCCTCAGGGCCCAGCCTCCACCGTGATCATTGCCACCTCCTTCCCGCGAACTGCAGGGATCTGTTTCCTCCCACGGGGATTTCATGTGCCCCGGGCTCTGTGGTGGTCTGTGGCATCCCCGGCAGTGCCGGGTGCCGAGGTAGGATTTGGTGCACTGCGCCCCACCCGGCTCTGAAGGTGGCCAGGGGTGCCTTGGCTTTGGGCGTCGACTTGAAGCTCAGGAGCGTTTGGAGTTTTCCTACCGGCCGTGGGAACTAGAGCTATAGTTACGGTTTTGAGACTCATCATTGCTTGGGTCAGTTTTAATTCTGTGCCAGTCCGGTGCTCTAAGGATTTAAACTGGACTTGGTTTGTAAATTTCAGGTCTCAGAGGCTATTCACGGTAGTAAAATATGTGATTCAGTTTTCATCATTTCGCACTTCCGCTCACTTAAGCCTCCTGGTTGCATGCACGTACTGGTATGAATAGGTTAGATTTTCATCAGTCAGGCTATGCTGGCATTGCTAATTGAGGAGTGAAAAAGGTTTATCCAATCCTGGCTTTTAAAGGGAATCAGGGGAGGCAGTTTCACATGTGAAGAGCCCCGGGCTCCAGGGCCAGACTGCCAGCCTCCAAATCTTAGAGTTTTCTCATTGAGTTCTGCTGGGCAAGTTACTTAGCCTTGCTGTTGTTGCACTTTCCCTGTCTCTAAAATGAGGATAGCAATGGCTTGTCACATGGCACTGTTAGGAAGATTATTAGATAAGTGAACTGAACACAAAGTGTTTAAAACAGATCCGGGCATATAGTAAGTCCTCAGTAAAGCTGAGCTATTATTTAGTTATGTGCATTGTATTGATTGTAGTATAATCCCACAAAAAAAGGGGGCACTTTTTTTTTTTAATTGTTGGAAACCATTTTTAAGGCTGGTTAGCAATAAACTTTAATTATAAAGAACTCTATCAGGTGAGGCAATGAATTGCGGATTTTCCTGGTTTTGCTAATATTCGGTTCCTTTGTTTTCGGGTGCAGTTGGGTTAAGTTCTAGTGTAGCAGTGGCCCTGGGAGTTCAGCTGTGAGCGCTTTTCTGGAAAAGTTAAAATAAGAGATTGTGACTCAAAGCATTGGACTAAGTGGATTGGATATAGCCTAAAGCACCCAGGAAAAGGTTCTTCAGGC